GGGCAAAATAGTTTCTGCTGGGTATTGCGGGGGGGGGGAGAGGGAAGGGGCAGAGTGGGTGGTAAGGGAGGGGGTGGGGGCAGTGGGGAGAAATGAACCAATCCTTGTATGCACATATGAATAATAAAAGAAAAATGAAAAAAATAAAATAATAACCTGGACAGTGCCTTAAAAATTGTGGGTGACAGCAGTGGTAGCTCACACCTATAATCCTAGCTACTCATGAGGCAGAGATCAGGAGGATCACGTTCTCAAGACCCTATCTCAAAACAGGGCTGACAAGGTGGCTCAAGTGGCTGAGCTTCTGCAGAATGGCTCAAGTGGTACAGTGCCAGCCTAGCAAGCATGAGGCCCTGAGTTCAAACCTCATACCACCAAAAATCATTGTAGGTTTATAATAAATGCTCGTTGACTATTTAGGTGAGCTGTAGATAGAGAAACAGACACAGTGGTTGGCAGGGTGAGCTGTAGCAGCTTCCCCACTAACTCTGCCTCTTTGACTCAGTTTCCTTATCTGTGAAGTGGGGCTAATAATATCTACCTTTCTAGAGCTACTGCAGGAACAGGTGTGGTCATTCATGCAGGGTATTTGGCAGTCCTGATAGGTGAGTGTTGAACAAGGCGGTGGGTCTGAGCCACTGTGAGCAGCAAAAGGAACAGAATATTATCAGGAGCCCAGCAAGTTAGGTCAATCCGAGTGCCTTCCACACTTGTCCCTCAGTTTCCTCATCTGTAAAACAGGACTTTAGGATACTTACGGGTTTCTAAATTACCTCAGAGTTCCAAAATACTCTGATTCTGACTTGTAGGAGGTTAATACCCAAAGGCATCTTACACAATTCTTTATCTATGCAGTTTAAGCTAGATTAACCTTGTTTGCTGGTGGTGAAATAGATCAGCAGTGGTAAGTCAGCATGTGCTTCCTATGTGGAACTTTTTTGAATTTTTATTTCTACGTGAAATAACAAGAAGTTAGGTAGACAGACAAAAGCATCCTTTGGCTAAACATGACTGTAGACTGGTGGAAAAAATAGGCTTGTTAAAAATAATTACAAAGGACTGAGGTCATCTTTGAGCCTGTTTAGAAAACTCTTGAAGCCATAGCGGTAAATCAGTAGACTGAAAGTGTTACTGCTGCAATTCATTCCCCAAACTATACATTTTGAATATGAAAGCATGGGCCACAGGGTTCTGAAGTCAGCGTTTCTCAGGTTCTGAAATGAAGGATTTGAAATCTGATTTGCTGTAAAAATATGAAGATAGCCACCCTTTCCTGCAGTCCCTAACTTTTCCTGACCTTAAAAGTGAATGAAAGTTTCCAGTTCAGGCTTGTGCAGTAATTTTTTATAGGTAACATTTGTTACATTCTCAGCTACACTTTGCAACTAAGTATTTTGTTAGAATCCCAGCAGGCTGCTCTACCACTTGAGTCACACCCCGAGCCCTTTTGGCATTAGTTATTTTGCTCCCTAAGCCAAGGAGAGAAGCACCAGAAGAAACCAACCCTGCAGACACTTTAACCTTGCATTTCCAGCCCCCAGGTAGTAAGAAATGCAGTGAAGAGAAATAAATTAGTTAAGGGGTTTTAGAGAATGACTGGGGACTGATGTTTTGGCTAGAGTGTAGTTTGCTTGGTCTTGCTTTGTCCACACTGGCCTGGACCTTGCTTGATCCTCCCCTTTACTCTTCCCATGTAGCCTGGACGACAGGTGTGTACATCATGACAGCTTTTTTATTAGTTGAGATGGGGTCTTTCAAACTTTTTGCCCAGGCTGACTTGGAACCATGGTCTTCCTGATCTTTCACTCCCAAATAGCTGGGATTGCATGTGTGAGCCACACACCAGGCTCAGAGAAGTATTTTGTGGCTGAGGAATCAAAGCTCAGAGATTTGAACTTTCCTGCTATTACTTAGCTAATAAGACCACTAAATAAATAAGATGTCTTCGTTACACGATTTGGGACTGCTAAAGCCCACTTAAGGCTCCAGAAACCCACCTGTGGTCAAACAGAAATGGCTTATTTAACTCATTGGAGCAAGGAAAAAAATGCACACCCCTGAAGCCACAGGGAGAAGCAAAGGGCTTAGCATGGATTTGGGCTTCTACCGGGTGGCTCTAGTAAGAATTTAGCAACAGAAGCACCAGTTTTCTTTTATATGTTCTCAGGAAGTAGGATCAATCTAGTATTGTGATTATTTTTATGTAGAAGGCAGGAAGTTTGGAGACTACACTGTCATTGTTTAAAAAAAAACAAACAAACTGGAATTCTGTTCCTGTTATATATATTCCAGGACAATTATTTTGTTAGTTATTCTGTAGTACAGAGGGTCCTGATCTCTGTCTTATTCAGACTTAATTGAAGGTTGTTTCTGTCTTGCTCCCCCATGGTCACAGGTTGGTCTTGTCTGAGCATTGCTTGTAGTCTCATTTTTTAAATTAGCATATGTTAATTGCACAAAGGGGGTTGATTGTGGTAATTCAGTGCATGCATATATTGAATTTTGGTTAAATTCACACCCTCTATTACACTCTCTTATCCCTATCCCACCCCACCCATTTTTTTAATTTAAATTTTTTTCATAATTTTAATAGGATTCATTATGCTATTTTCATACATGCACATGATGTTTTTTTTTATTGTTTTATTATTCATATGTGCATACAAAGTTTGGGTCATTTCTCCCCCCTACCCCCACCCCCTCCCTTACCACCCGCTCCCCGCCCCCCCTCAATACCCGGCAGAAACTATTTTGCCCTTATCTCTAATTTTGTTGAAGAGAGAGTATAAGCAATAATAGGAAGGAACAAGTGTTTTTGCTGGTTGAGATAAGGATAGCTATACAGGGAGTTGACTCACATTAATTTCCTGTGCATGTGTGTTAACTTCTAGGTTAATTCTTTTTGATCCAACCTTTTCTCTAGCTCCTGGTCCCCTTCTCCTATTGGCCTCAGTTGCTTTAAGGTATCTGCTTTAGTTTCTCTGCATTAAGGGCAACAAATGCTAGCTAATTTTTTAGGTGTCTTACCTATCCTCACACCTCCCTTGTGTGCTCTCGCTTTTATCATGTGCTCAAAGTCCAGTCCCCTTGTTGTGTTTGCCCTTGATCTAATGTCCACATATGAGGGAGAACATACGATTTTTGGTCTTTTGAGCCAGGCTAACCTCACTCAGAATGATGTTCTCCAATTCCATCCATTTACCAGTGAATGATAACATTTCGTACTTCTTCATGGCTGCATAAAATTCCATTGTGTATAGATACCACATTTTCTTAATCCATTCGTCAGTGGTGGGGCATCTTGGCTGTTTCCATAACTTGGCTATTGTGAATAGTCATGATGTTCTTTGATCAGAGAGAATTGCTTGCATTCAGCAAAAGCTTTTTACACTGAGCTACAAACACTTCAGTACTACAGCCTGACAGTCAGTTCTGGATTCTCTCTACTCCTCTCCCTACTTCCTGTCCTGTGTGTTCCCTTTCCACCCTTTCTCCCTCTCCAGCTATTTCATAGCAATTAGCTGATTTCTTCCTTCTGAAAATAATCATTAGTTCCGTGGAGGAGGGAGTATCATCACAGGGAAGTTTTCAGATAAATATAGACCTACTACTTGATCCTAGCTCATCCACTTGACTTTAGGTGTTTTTGTTTTTGGTTTTGCGATACTGATAGTTACCCAGGGACTACACCTTGAGCCTTTTTGTGATGGTTTTGTTGTTGTTGTTGTTGTTTGTTTGTTTGTTTTGACATAGGGTCTCATGACTATTTGCCTGGGCTGCTTTTGAACCTCAATCCTCCTGATCTCTGCCTCCTGAGTAGCTAGGACTATAGGTGTAAGCCACTGATGCCACTTGGTTTTAGGTAAATCACTTCATCTTTTTGGCCTGGCTTTCCTCATCTTAGAAGGTAGTGTGTTTGGAAAAATAGAAATACTTTACACAAAGTATTTGAAACACATAGTCTGATTGCAAATAGTGACTACTGTTAAAAGGCATAATCATTCATCAAATGTTCATTTGCTTCTTTTGTAATATCTAACAAACAAAATAATTTGTATTTAATAAACTATCAGATTATAGAAGGCCATACAAGGTAAGAGCCAGACTTTCTGAATGTGAAGTCTCCCATTGGATGTTAATTCTATGGTGAAACTTACGATAGCTACCTTTTTGTACATTTGTTTAAAATTAAATGTAAAGGAAATAACAGTGTATTATGCATTTAACTAATGAACATACAAGATCATTTTAAGGTTCTTCCATGTCCATGGTCTTCATGAGGCAAAGGCAGGAATACTGTATTTTTAGACTGTACAGAAAGAGTGGCTACCTGGTTAGGACTGTAAAGAAAAAATGGAAGACACACAGGAAGACTATTTTTATAGTATGTGTAGAAAAAGGTCTTATAAAACATTTCTGCTGAAGATTTACTTTTTATATAAGGCAAAGATTAGGGTTAAATTATAAGGAATCTATCTTCAAATTAGCTCTAAATTGTGAGCTGATTTGTGTTTTCATCTTTGTATTTTCCTGTATTTTTTAAGGTTTTCTATAGAAATATACATCCATGGTTGGAGAAAAAAATGAGTTAGTCTTCTAAAAATTCTATATGGTTTTCCTGAAATTGCTAGGCTTCTCCACAATGGTTACCAAACTTTTGGCATCGTGTGTATATGTTTTGCTCACTCATTCATTCCTATACCTGTGTATGTGTGTCTCATAAAGCATCCTTAGGAGTGTGCTAGACATTAAGTGGTACTTGAGGTTCAAGTTCAGAATTACCCAACTGTGAACTATGGAAACTGGCCTGGTCTGTCACAGATGGCTGGGATGTTGCTGAGATACGGTGTGGTCTTTTTTATTGCATCTATCTTGGTTTCATGAGCAGTTACAACCCTATTCTTAAAGAAGTACAACTGAAAAGCATCCTGCTGATGAAAAACATAATTACAAATGACTCCTTTTTGTGTTTCCTTTTTCCCCTCCTGTTCTCACATTAGAAGTCTGGCCTTCATTTTCGACACACAGATAATACTGTCCAGTGGCTAAGAGCCATGGAATCCATCGGTCTACCCAAGGTAAGCCTTCACATACCAGATCCTGCACTGGGGGACTAGAGAACGTGCACAACACTTTATTTCTTACTTCTTTAAGAAAGTGATGTGGCACACAGAGATATGCTAATGCAGAAATGAGAAACGTGAGAATGAAACAAAACTGTGGAAAGGTCTTTACGAAGAAATGTATGGTGAGAAGTCAGAATGTAGAGGGGGCATAGCTTAAGAGAAGACAGCTGAAAGTATGTTAATTAAACAAGGTCAAAACAAGCTTTAGCTGGTAGACAATTGATCTAAGATAGTCAATTTTTGTGTTACTGTTTATACTTCAAAACATACTGTCTCATTATATTACTACATATCGTATCTATAAATCATTATAAACTATTAGCAGTCACAGTATTGTTTAAATGCTAAAGGTCGGGAGGTTGTAGCTCTTGCTCCTGAAATAGACTTAAAGGTTTTTTCAGTGAGTGTTCAGTGTTTGTTAAATTCAAAGGAAATGAGAAAATTACACTTGATAGGAACTGCAGTGCTATTTCTTTAACTTACTTTAAAGGAATTATAAAATCACAAGAAATTGCAAAAAAATAGTACATCTGTATATATCCTTTCCTTAACTATCCCTAATAGTGACATCTTATAACTGTGGTACAATATTAAATTGATATTGGGGTGTTGATGTTAAGCTGGACTGCACACCTTGCTCATTTTTCACCATTTGTGCATGCATTTGTGAGAGTGTGTGTGGTTCTGTGCAGTTGTATCCTGTGAATAAATGTGTGCAGCCACCCCCACAATCACAATACAGTCATCAGAGAAGTGGTCTTTAATGTTGAATCACTCCCTACCCCTGTTCCTGGCAACCAATAATATGCCTTCCATCCCTGTCATTTTGTCATTTTGAGAATGATATATATGTAAATGGCCACCTTTTGTGATTGGCTTTTTTCCAGTAAGCGTGTTGCCCTTGAGAGCCATCCGATATTCCAGTGCATCAATAACTCAGTCCTTTGCACTGCTTAGCTTGTACAACTACTTTAAATGAGTTAGGAGAGGTTCAGCTTGAGGACAAAGAGATAAACTGCTTATGAATACCCATGTTGTTGTCTTATTATTAAGTCAAGTTTGCTATTAAAAATACCCAGCACAGCAAAAACTAAACATACCTTAACATAAATTACCAATGCTTATTTTCAATATTGTGCTCATGTCTATTTTAGCATAGTCTCATTTTTCTCAAAATTATCAATATTTATTTGTTCTGCCATTTTTCACCAAACTGATTTCCCCTTCTCTTCAAGAACAGTAAATTCTTTTCCCTTCTGGGTACTAGTTGTCATTCAAAAGTCATTTTTCTCGGTTGTGACTCAGCAAGTACTAAGTGGGGGGCTGGTTGGCAAACTGATCAATAAAGAAATGCAAATAGGATTTTTCTGAATGAAGAAAATCAGATTAGGATAATTTCATAATGTGATACATGTTAAACCTTTTCAAACCCTGTGATCTGTACAGCAGATTGAACTTTAATACTGATTTTTCTGGATAGCTCACATTGCAGGGATAAGAGACCAGCAGTGTGCTGGACTGACTTTGATGTACTGACTGCCATGAACTCCTTCATTTATGAATACTAAGCTGTTACTCTGGGCTTGACATTGGCTACACTAGAGTACAGCACTGAATAAAACAGTCTGGCTAACTGTAAATCGATCCCACCTCCTTGGTACAGAAAGATGCATTCTTGAGGATTTCCCAGGAGAAATATAAATATAGAAGGTCCGTGTTTGAAAAAAAGGGGGGTGGAGAGAGTTGGCCAACAATCCAGTGAGGTGTGAGGTGAGAGTTTCAGTTATTCTTTGCTTACATAGAATTTTGAACCTGGTCACACTCTTCAGAATTGGGAGACCTCTTCTTTCTGACATTTTGACAGCAAATGTGTTCAAAGAAAGCAGAAAAGGCCCTTTGAAATTAACCAGGCTACGGACAGTTGTTTAACTACCTAGAACCAGACATTGTTAGCTCAAGCAACTTTGCTTCTTTCTTTTCTGCTGTTTTCAATGGCCAATTGAAAATTGCCCTTGAGTATCAAGTACTACCATATGGTACATGATTTAATTTTAGTTCTTATTTCAAATTGTATAGAATATTTACTGAAAGCAAGCAATGCCAAAATGCTTATCTTAGTATTAGAGCTTCAAGCCCAATTACTCATTTTTTTTCATGCTCAAGAACAGAGAAGTTTAGGCCCCAATCTGAAATCCGTTTCCTATCAAGCTTGTAGTTTCAGTGTTAGGGACAAGAGCATGAATGTGTGTTCAAAGCCTTGACATTGAGACCTTTCAATCTAGTAATTCCATATTTAGATGATCACCCCTAAGAAGAACTCAGAGGCCCAGAAAATACAGGGATGCTCATTGCAGTGGCTTAAAATAGGAGGAAAAAATAAGCAAAGCAAATGTTTACCCATGGAGAATGGTTAAGCTGTGCTTCAAAAATCAGAAAGAACCATACACATCCTTCAGAAATTATGTTCTTATAGAATAATGAAGTCAGTTAGCCAAGTTTACACTAGGTACACTTTTGGTTTTGTGGATACATAAACATAAAAAACCAGAGGCTATATAGACATTAAAACATCAGAAAAAAATATAACAGAATGCTAATAATGGCAGTCTGGAAGTTGGGATTATAGGTTTGATTTGTTTTGTTTGGGATGAGACTGGGATTCGAACTCAAGGCTTACAGCTTACAAAGCAAGCACTCTCCACTTGAGCCAAACCTCCAGCCCTCCTTCATATTTTCTGTACTTTCTAGATCTTATCAAGTGAAAATGTATTACTTTAAGCAGAAAATAATATGTGTGCATATATTATGTATGCCTTCAGTAATGTTTAAAGAGCTACGTAGCAAGTTTAACAATGTAATAAAGTGGCTGTAAGAAGGTCACCTCCCAGGCTGGGCACTGGCAGCTCATGACTGTAATCTGCATTCATTGGGAGGGTAAGTTCCAGGCCTTCCCGATTACAAGACTCCATCTCAAAAAAAAAAAGCTGGGTGTGACAGGTGGCATCCACTTGTCATTCCAATTAGTGCAAGAAACAAAATGGAAGGATCATGGTGGTGGGGGGGGGTGTGAGTGAAGCAAGACTGCATCTCCAAAATATAACACAAAGGGATAGAGGCCTGACTCAAGCAGTAGACACCTGCTTAGCAAGCATGAAGTCCTGAGTTCAAACCCCAGTACCTCCAAAAAGAAGAATTAAAAAAAAAAAAGGTCACCCCCTCAGCCCATGGGACCTTTGGGCAGTCACAGGAAAGAGGGTACAGAGTGAAACACTGCCACCCTGAACTGTGACTGTGGACAGTCTCTGTGAAGGGCTGGTTGTGAACCCTACCACCTCCTGTTGCCCATCAGGAGGTACCACCAGGCAGGGGACAAGATGTAGGAATTGGTCTGTCTATAGAGCAAGATGAAGCAACTACCCAGAGGCTCGTCTACATTCAAATAATTACAGAATAGCAAAGGCAATCAGAATAGGAATATTTGGGGAGTTAAAATAACCACAAGAAACAAAGCATAACAAACACATTGTTTCTTTTGTTTTCCAGATCTTTTATCCAGAAACAACAGATGTCTATGATCGGAAAAACATACCAAGAATGATATATTGCATTCACGCACTGAGGTGGGGAAAAATGCATCTAAGATACTCCCTCCGAAGTTAATTTAAATAAAACTAGAATTACAATTTTGAAAGACTTTAAGTAACTTTAATAATCAGAAGAACTTGTTATTAGATTCAGTTTTGAACTTACTGGTACAAAGTTAAAATAATTGTCACATAAAAACCATCCTTCTTATAAAACCAGAAAATGATTCAAAGGTCTTTTAAGTAAACTAAGGAGAGAATTTAAGTTAAAAGTTATAGGAATCCAACATTAATGTGCTATTCATTCTTGAGTTATGATCTGGTTTACAAATGTAGCAAAAATATATCAAATAAGCAAATTTAATAATCACAGTGATTTTGCTTCAGTTATTCTTAAGATTATGATTCTGTTTTTACCATCTGTTAAGAAAATCCAAGTGTTGGAGGTATGGCTCAAGTGGTAGAGCACTTGCCTAGTAAGCTTGAGCTCCTGACTTAAGCCTTGGTACCAAGTCAGGCACAGCTATAATTCCAGCTACTTGGGAGATGAGAATAGGAGGATTTCAGTCCAGGGCTGGCCAAGGGCAAAAGCACAGTACCCTACCTGAAAACAAAAAGCAAAAGGACTGGGAGCATGGCTCAAGTTGTAGAGTGCTTGCCTAGCAAGTATGAGGACCTGAATTCGGTCCATGGCACCACTGAAAAAAGAAAAAGGAAAAAAAAAATCCAATATAAGGATGGTTTCTTTTGACTTTCTGTTCAATAGAACTTATACTCTAAGAAAAAAGAAGAAAAGCAGAAAAGTTGCTTTAAATTTTTGAAAATGTTGAAATCCTGCTAGTTCACAGATTATTTTTTTGTCTTGTTGGCCTAGAAGAACTGTGACTTTCAGATAGTAACAAAGGTGATTCTGAAAGTCCAGCTCGTGGCTCTAGTCTTGTGTGCACACGTGGAGTGGTTGAAAGACTTGGCATCTGATGAAAATTTCAGTCCCTTTTACATCTGCCTTGTGTTTATATCACCAGAAGTCATTTTCCTGGCAGAATCCTCTGGGTTAGGGTTTATATTAACTTCTTCCTGGCTCTTTTCCTCTCCAAAGCAAAAGGTTTCTATAATAATTCATTGCAAGGCTGGAGAATTTTGATTATGTCACCCCCTTCCCCCCTTCAGTACTTTGAGACTGCTTTGGAAGATGACATCAGGTAGAAATACAGACCAAATGGGGGTGAGGGGCTTTGCTTTATTTTTTTTCTTTTTGGGACAGGGTCTCTGTGTAACCCAGGCTGGTCTAGAACTCTCAATCTTCTTGCCTCTGCCTCTTGAGTGTTGGGATAGAAGCATGTGCTGCCACACTGGGCCTATGTATTTTTCATTCTAATAACTTAGAATTTCTGACTTGGTGGGGAAGGGAGCTTGTATGTTTTCTTCCCCCTATGTGGTTAAAGTGTCACTCTGCCAGCAGGCTTTCTAAAAGCTTCTTCTGTAAAAGTTTCATTTTGAGGAGAAGGGGGGACTAGGGTTTGAGCTCAGGGCTTGCTAAGCAGGTGCTCTACCACTTGATTCTGGACCCCATCCCTTTTTTGGTTTTTAGTTATTTTTTTGACTGAGTATCTATCACCTTTTTGCTTAGGACCAGCCTATGATCGACATCGTTCTACTTACCACCACACCCAGTTTGTTGCTTAAGATGCAGTCTCGCTAACTTTTTTGCCTAGGTTGGGCTTGAACTGTGATCCTTTTGATCTCTGCCCCCTGAGTTGCTGGGGTTACAGGCATGAGCCACTGTGCTGGGCCCTAAAATTTTTTTTGAGGAATATTTTCAACTGTATTGTCCCAATATTCTTTATCAAATATTTTCCTGAGCTTATAATGATCATGTAACACTACAGTGAGTACTGTTTTTGTGACCTGCTAAGCCAGCCACCATTAATTAGCACTTAGAAGGCATACAGATGACAGTGGTATTAATCTCCAAGTCTGTAGCGTGCTCCTGAGGTATCTTATGTAAGTAACTTAAGTTGATTTTCTAAGGTGGACACGTAGGACCTTCAGGTTCTGTAGCATGTAAAGAAGTGGTGTGCTAAGTTCTTTCTGGTGACAGCACCATACTAAAGAAGCTACATAGAATGGCACAGAGGTTTACAAATGTATATTTGCTGTACTTTTTGGTGGCGGCTTGAACAGCTTAGCAAACAAAAAAATGAGCAACGTCTCACTTAGTCTTGCCCCTGGTGTGAAAATGTTGATGTGGTGTTTTCTGGTCTGTGATTCTCAGTTGCTTATCATGGATGTCTCCACTACTTTTTGTCATCCTGGAGGGTATGACATACCTATTGGATCACATCTCTCACCATCTCTGACCTTAAGGAAGAAGATTTGTCTTTAGAAGCAACGTTTATTTAGTCACTAGTATTTCCTGGGGAGGCTCTCCTTCACTTTCCTCCCTTCTGACATATTCCATGGTTGTCTGTCAGTGTGAAACTGACAAATCCCAAGTGAGTGGGAAGTCTCTGAAAGCTTTTTCCTGTTGGTGGTTGAGAATGCTCACAGAAGGCAGGGGTTCTGTCTGTTGGACAAAATACATTTGGACACTAGGTAACAGAGCCCTTTAATTGTCCAAAGTTTGCTGGAAATGAGCTCACACCTTGGGGACTACAGCGCCATGGCTGGTGTATAAAGCTGTCATTATCTGGTAGAGAATTAGGCAGGTGGGAGGATCTAATTACAGCTCAGAAGTAGGGAGGAACAGTGGCTCCAGGTAGGTATGCTTACCTTCCTCCTGTCCCAGCCTGCGGGCCTGAATTCATCTACAAAGTCAGCTCTTGGCCTTGACCAAACTTGTCTCCTTTTCCCAGTCTGCTTGTTTTGGGCTTAACAGCCAACGATGCCCTGGTTGTGCTTGCTTCCTGTTTGTACTTGCTTTCCCTTTTCTGGCCTGCTCCTCCCCTTTTCTCATTGTCCATCACTCAGTGATCCCTTGGCCAGTTTAGTGTGGGATTCCCAGGCCCATACTCCAGGGAATGTCACCACTTAAGCCTGAGGAAATCCTCAAGGTTAACTATTGCAGAGACCCACCTTCATGGTGGGTGGCCTCATTCTTTTTCCAAGGAAATACTTATGTTTTTTCTTATTTCAAAAAAATAAAAGAACATATGCTCATTGTGGAAAAAAAATCGGAAAATTTAGAAAGAATGTCCAAAGAAAAGCTAAAACACCTACTATCTCAAAACCGTGCAAAAACTGCTGCTACTATTTTGGTGTCTTTGGACATAAAATCTGTATATGGCATGTTTTCCTTTTGTGGCTTCTTTTAGAATATTCTAAAGCCTGTGCAATGAAAAGAGCTGGTGGGAGCCCTGCTAAATTACTACACTGATCTTTTTCTTTTTTAGTGTCTGGAGACCTTTTTGCATGGAGAAAAATATTTTGTATGTGTTGTCTTTAAAAAATGACATCAAACAACTAGTAAATGTTTAAACTTTAGTTATAATATTGAATATCTCTAAACAACTTAAGCAATGATGTGACTGTTTAAAAAAAAAAAATCTACAATTTCCTTTAAACCTTACAGAACAGATGAAATGCCCAGATACATTTTACACCCAGCCACACTGAAACCTGCTCCAAAAGATCTAGCCCTCGAGTCTCACTCATGTCTTCATTATTTCCTCATGGACTTGGCCTTGGCCTATGGCTGTTACACTATTTGAATACTTACCAAAGAGGTAACGTGATCTTAGCATCACTAGAAACAAAACTCACTATGCATACAGGTCTGGTTTCTCACCTATCAGGTGTTGGTCCAAACATGGCTCCACTTTGGGCTCTTATCCCAAGGTGAGTCAGAGCCCAGCCACCAGCATGAGGCTGAACGTTACTTGTTGAATCAGTCAGACCTTTTTAATTAAGTACATGGCTTTCAGGTGGGTTTTTATTTACAGTCCTCCCCCTCCCCCTCCCTCTCCTCCTTCCCCTCCCCCTCCCCGTCCCCATCCCCATCCCCCTGCAGTGATTTACTTCCTAAGTTTCAGATGGCCAGTGTTATACAATCCACTGTTCTGTCACAGTGATGTATTGCCCTGGCCTGTTAACATTATTAAAAGCTCATGCATGCCGTTTTCATTTTTTCTTGAAATGAGTTGGATTTTTCTAGAGATTTCCGTCTCCCAGGAGACCAAACAGCTCTTTAGGCTGTTTGGCTGATTGATCATCTCAGATCATGTTTCTGGGTCCTCTCTCTGCTTGGTTGTTGACTGTGACCATTGTTGCTGGACTTTCTTTCCACCTGGCTAGTCTCATCACCACACCTGTACTCCACAGTCCATCCTTTCTCTGGGAGATTTCCTGTGCTTTTTGAGACTATTTGGCTTACTCAGAGTTCCTGATTCATGGTTCCTATAGTATAAGAACAAATACATATCTGCACTCCATAAACAGATGGAGAAGAAACAAAGTACCTATGTTTTCATAACACTCTCCCTTTTAAAATTAAAACAAGTAATTCTGCACGGACTATTTTATCTCTACGTATAACAGCTTTTTTGTACACTGTTCGTTATTTTGTCGGCTATTGTTGGCTTTTCTCAGACTTAAGCAAAATGAGTATCTTCTTGATGGAAAAGATTAGTTCAGTTGGTCAGTTGGGGCTCTGTCCAGCAGCTCCTTTATCCTTGTAGCACTATCCCTGACATCCTTTGAAATACTCTTATCTTGTGGATATGCCAGATATTCTTGTCCTTTGCTTATTATTCCTGCTTTAAGACATGGAACCAAGTGCTGGGCTTGGTGGATCATAGCTGTAATCCCAGTACGCAGGAAGTGGAGGCAGGAGGATCACAAGTTTGAGGCTAACTTGTGCTATGTTATAGAGACCCTTTCTCAAAATATAAACAAAAGGCCTGGGAGTATGGCTCAAGTGGTAGAGACTTGCCTAGAAAGTTGGAGGCCCTAGGTTTAATCTTTAGTACCACAAAAGAAAAGGAGAAAAAAAAAAAGATACAGAATCAACTACTTTCCAAGGAATTCCTTCAGAGTCA